AGAGTCAGGTGTATGATTAACCAATTATACCAAGCAGGTGCTAATGATCATCAATTTCATATGTAGGTTGAAACCCTAATTCTTCAATTATTTTAACTGATCTTGAAAAAAATGTGACTCAAGAAATATTGTCAAAAATGATATTATGGTGAGGCAGGATTGTCAAGGCTTATACATATATTTGTCACTTGGTGGTTCCCCAACTTAATTATGAGTCAGAATCTGAGCTAACTATTCCTCTGCTTTTAACATTTGTTGATCTTTATGAGATTGGTGCTCGAGTGGTCATCATATAAATAGACCAAGTGGTTGACCTATTTATAGATTGAAGTGATAACTAGATAAGTTTATAGAGATTGGCAGAGCCATGTACATTGTGGAATTGCTAAACACGTTACGAACTTGGACTTGCAGATATGTCCTTTCCTTCATAGGAATAGATGTAGTATTTTACCTGACTTTTTGTGAAATGTATTTAATATAGGAGCAAATGGAGCCTCTGAGAAATACAAGGGATGGTCAAGAGGAATTGCTTTAGAATGAGGAATCTTTGCTTTCTTCTAAGGGGCTTCTATTTTGTATTCTTCCAGCACCTGGAGAAATAAAATGAGGGGTAATTGTATTTTAATCTCAGGCTTTATAACTCTTGATTTACCTGCTGGGGAGCTTTCTTACAAAAAAAAGCAGCATTTTGGACTTCAAGTTTGTTGGGGGAACAATTGCTTGAAAAATCCTTTTCCTGTACTACTATAACTACTGTAGCTGTCCTATTTGCAGGAAGCAAGATTTAATATGATTTCCCCAGTAATATCTGTTCCCATATTTCCTTTCCTACTTAACCTAGAAATCAGTCAAATCATAATATAGTAGGCACTGATATTGCAAGTCCCTTAAATAGTATGAAGAAATTTTACCGGAAGCTGCTACTATGATTTCTCAAGAACACAGTCAGCAAGGTTAATCTTCTAGTTACTTGTATCATTAATTCTATCCCATGTATATTGAGTGCAAATGATTCAAACAAGCATATAATTACCATATATAGTCGCCAATAGGTTGAGAGTTTTAGGCTCCAAAATACACCCCCAAAATTGGGTTTGGCTTATCTACAAACCAGAGCTCAGATTTTTTAAAGCCCACCACAGCCTTAAAGTCACACGGTTTTATAAATCATGATGTGAGAGTTCTGTATCTGATCTGTCACTGTAGTTAAACATTTGAGGGTCAGCTGATCTGCTGGCAACGCATTGTTCATGGTATTTTGGTTGAAATTTTGAGAGTTGGCTTATTCACAGAAGGGGTTATCCATAATTGTATACAATAGTATACACCCTAGATAGCATCTGCAAAATTCTATAAGCACATTTAGTAAGCACTAAAATTTTAAAAATTCCAGAATGGTAGCAATCTCATGACATTATCAAATCTCATCAGATTTCAGGCAGCTTTTTATTTTTAGGGGTCTGGCTTTGGATTGAAGCTTGTGGAATGGCCATTTACCTGTAATTTACCTGTGATAAGAACTTTATTGAATACATAAACATTACATCATTAACAGGATGTAGTAACAATAACATGCGGAAAATATTATTGACTTGAAAAAAATGTTAAATATATCCAAGGACAGTCTTGTGACTGTTTAGTAAATAAGCATAATCTTACAAGCAACCATAAGTGGAACGTGTAATCTGGAAGAGTTATACGGTAGTGGCATATATAGTGATGGGGATGAAATACAGTGATGGGGATGAAATACAATATAAGAGGCTGGAAAATTACTGCATTATATTTTCCCAGGAAAATAATCAAGACTGAGATAGCATCATGGCTGCAAACTTCCAGTAGGAGGTAGCACCAGAAAAAAGAAGGTATCTGTCAAGGTTGCCAGTCTCTGGAATGTGGCATAGTGGTTTTCTATTCAAAGGATAATCCTGTAGGGTACACTCAAGCGTTTAGATTTATTTAGCAATCTTGTGCCCAGAGGTGTTGTGGAATTCAGCTTCCATCAGCCTCAACCAGCATATCCAATAGCAAATAATTGTTATGCAACTGAAATTGACTCCCATCCAAATTTACTTAAATTATTCTCTGTCACCCAGCTTTCTACAATGATTTTTGCTTCATTCTGCATACTCCTAAATTTTAACACTGCTTGTATCAACAACTATATCAAGACCGTTGCATTACTTGTGCTAAGGCCAAAAAAGAAATAGAGTATTTGTGTTCTCTCATCTCCAGCTACAGAGATAGAACAAAACATTGCCTTCCCTCCCAAATAAATGTAGTTATTTATTTTATTTATTTATTTAACTTGTCCCCGCCCATCTCCCCACAACGGGGGACTCTGGGCAGCTTACA